ATTTTTGAATCTTCAAATATTGGAAAAGGATTAAATAATAATAAACTTAATTTGCCTACAGCACACGCTTATCTTCCAGGAAGTAATATCAGTATGCCTGGATTTTTCATTGCTGATGCTGCGTTTCCATTATCTACCAGGATCATGAAACCATATTCAGGAAAAAACTTAACAAAGAAACAAAAAATCTATAATTATAGACATTCAAGAGGTCGAAACACAATTGAGGGAACATTTGGCATTTTTGCAAACCGTTGGAGAGTTTTTCATACAGCCATAAGTATGCTTCCAGAAACAGCAATTTTAATAACAAGTGCTTCAGTTGCTTTGCATAATTATATAATGTATGAAGAATAGAGAGACAGATTAAAAGAGTACAGTGAAGAAGTGGAATTACAAAGTACTCAATGGTTGGACATACAAAATACTTTAAGTACAAGTACCAGAGCAGCAATAAGTCAAAGAGATATTCTAAGTGAATACTTTGTTTCTCCTGTAGGACAAGTCGATTTTCAGTATGAATATATTCATCGAGGACAATACTCAGATATAATATTTGAAGAAGACATTTAAATGAATATAGAAGATAATACTCTCTTAAAACTTTTATTAAAAACTTTAGATGTAAGGGTTAGTTTATAGTACACCGTAAAATGTTACAAAAATAAAGTATTTTTAAACAATAAGATTAATGTTTATTTTATTCGACAACACAAAAAAGAAACAATTCTCGTAATACTTTTATTTAATAATAATTGCGATAAAAAATCTATAGAAAACAAAAATAAATCGCACAATATCTTACACAGTAACAGTCTTTGCAGATTATAAATCTATGTAATAAAATATTAAATAAATTTTTATTTATTAAAGTATTTACTAACATTACACAGCCTTTAAATAAAGTAAAAAAAATAATGTATCTTCGGTCATATGCTTTCGTGTCATATGCTTTCAAGTAGAAACAAAAAATAAATTTTTAAATAAAAATAAATGTAACTCTAATTAAACAAACAAAAGTAATTGTATCAATAGGAATTACATCAATAGGAACTTTGACTTTGCATTTCTTAAAGTGGAGTAATTAATACTTCCATTAATTTTTGCTTTTTAATACTTCTTTCTGGCTCATTCATTTTCTGTAATTCTAATGCAATATATTCTGCAAATACAGTTTCGACGGTTCTCAAATTTAAACTTGAAGTCTCTGCTACAATACTATTCGTTAAGTTACTTATAACGTTCAAAATGTTTTCTTCGTCTGATTTTTTTTTTAAATCCTTATTTTCTTTTGTTTTATTTTCTAATATTCTGGGCTTTTTCGTTGGATTTTCGTCAGAAATTGGATTCATATTTTCTGTTGAATTTTCATTTGCTGTAACATCCCTCACATTGCTGTAAGTTCTATAAAAACAGATTACATATTTTTAAATATTTTTATACAAGTAGGTAGAAAAATTATTACAATTGATAAAGAAATTAACCTGCGTCTCTGTATATAAGTATTTAAAAAGGACATTTGGTTTAATAACGGTGATGGTTTTTCAGTTGATGCTGCGCTACCACTTTTAGTATTTTTGTCATTTCTTTGCAAACGACTAAATTTTTCTCTCAAGGTCTTTAGTCTTTTCTGGCAGTACTCTGGTGTATAATAATTTCCTAGAAAATAATTTAGTTTTTTAGTAATAACTTAAATGCAAAATAAATAAAAACAAAAATAAGAAAATAAAAATTATTCTAATGTACTAACCACAATTTTTCTCTATCATAATTTTAGATATTTCTAACCAAGCATTTGCTTTCATTTCGTTATCTTTAAAGTTTCTATCTCTTTTATCATATAAGAAATGTCGTTCTCTATATAGATCTATTAAATAATCTTCTCCCTCCTTTTCATCAATTTTTAAATCGTTGTCCTTATTAATGTTTGTAGACATTTCATTATTAAACGATTCTTCCATAATGTCATAAGAGTATGAGTGATCCATTATTCTGAAATATTATAAGCATAATAAATAAATATATAAATAAAAATGACCTTGTTATTAAGAATATAAACTCACAAAAAAAAACTGCCAAAGACGAGCTAATGACATTTGTTGCACTAAAAATGAAATAGTCAGTTTTAGTGCGATCCAGTGCAGATAAAGAGAGCAGGTCTATAATTGGTTACACCCATAGCTCGCGCATGTGCAGCTCATTTTCGTACACGCCGACATCAAAGGTGCCGACAGGGAGTTGCGCTACTGTATGTACTGTGGTTAAAGTTCGAGACTTTACAGGTTAAGAAATCTGTCATCCCGATTCGATATATATTATGTATATGTGTACATACGTGTACACAGTCGCAAGTATACTGCACACATATAAATATTCAATATGGCGATGAAATGTTGCAAGTTATTCCATTCGGCGGACATGGCAGTACACGGAACATTTTTCGTGACCACCTTCAGTCTACACAGTTATGTCTCCTTACTCTAACTTCATGCCTATATGCCAGTAGCCATATGCATTACTTAGAGTCCTAGATATCAGAGAAGCGAAACCGACTTAAATCAGTATCGCAAAATTACTAAGAAAAGTAATAAAAATGGCGTCGTTTGCAGACGAAATATGAAATCCACCAATCGTCTATTAGTCAGCCATTTTTAATACCACTGAATGAATTCATGATTGGCTGACAGTCAGCTAATTAGGACGCGGAACATCGGTTGCGCTTCTCTGATATCTAGGACTCTAGCATTACTGGGTATCGATCATGAAACTTTTCATCAAATACTTTCAATTTTTCAATTACTTTCATCAAAATTAATGGCATATTATTTTACCTTGATTTATTTAATGTATAGATTAGGCGTTATATTAATTAGGAATTACGCGATCGACGTAATCAATAATTTTTTCAACTCCAATTTGTTTTCCACGTGATTTATCTACTATTAATAGAAAAAATATTTTCTGCGTATGACTTAGAGATATGCCTTCGACTTCATTTTCACTATCGCTCGAGTCGGAACTGCGTCATCGGAACTTTCATCATTTTTCTTTAAAAGTATTAAAGAAGAAATTACAATTATTAGAAATTGTTTATTGACGTCTTGTATAGCGTCCATCTTGAACTCGCATAGCTCGCACAGGAAACCGGTCCGAATTTATAAGCACTTCATGCGTGTTATGCGCGCATTGAACAAACGGAACAATTTCAAAGTGTTGTGCATCAGTATTGCAGTCCACGCGCTTCATGCGCGACTCGGAACGCACCCCTAATCATCTCGGCGCAAATTGGCAAGAGTCCGACAAAAAGTAATCATTAAATAATGTAAATTTTGAAAAGCTCCACATTTCTTGTAAAATTGAATAAAAATACAATTATGATTAATATATATAATTAGAACAATGCGAAGAGAGACCCATTTCAAGATGTTGACAATAAACAATTTAAAATCAGAAGAGGTCGAAACGTCTGTTTTAAATTTTATTAAACTTTATATTTATTTTTAACTAATGACATCTTATATTTATATCTTATATTTATACATATCGATATTTTGGAAAGACCAGGCGCAAGTGATGTGCGTTTAAAAAATGTGGCTGTGCCGTCGGTATTTCTGGAAGCTCCTACTTCCGACACGTGTGGCTACCGGCTGATGTCACATATACACACTAACACACATGCAGGATACTCATATACGCACTACTACACACGCACCGTCGCCATCTTGTTGTTCCCATCATGGCCGAAACCGGAGATCCGGCCGGCCTCAGTCCTTTCGACTGTGTTAGAGTCCTAGATATCAGAGAAGCGCAACCGATGTTCCGCGTTCTGATTAGCTGACTGTCAGCCAATCATGACATTCATTCAGTGGTATTAAAAATGGCTGACTAATAGACGATTGGTGGATTTCATATTTCGTCTGCAAACGACGCCATTTTTAATACTTTTCTTAGTAATTTTGCGATACTGACTTAAACCGGTTGCGCTTCTCTGATATCTAGGACTCTAGACTGTGTTAGCGATCTAGTATAGTATAGACATCTGTGCTAGCAGTCCATATTAGGGCCGGTATTCATAGTCGGTTCTTATTTCAAGACTGTCTTAAGTAATGTCTTAAGATGCTAAATCGGTCCTCTGATTGGTTCGTAACTCCTCAAGAATGAACTTAAGACGGTCTTGAATATAAGAACTGACTATGAATACCGGCCTAGGTCTGTTCTTTATTGCTGAACTTTTGCACCAGTTCATCTTTTTTCTTTTTCCCTTCTCCTAAAGAGAAAAGGAAGAAAGATGAACTAGTGCAAAAGTTCAGCAATAAAGAACAGACCTATTATATAGTCAAAGATCTCAATATTCTCGATTCAGTTTTTAGGTTATACGAAATCAATTTTCTCGTAAGAAATGGTAGACATACTGTTTTTTGATTGGTCAGTCATAACGTAATCATAAGTTCTGTCAGAAGAGATGGAATTTGGCCATCTCCACTCAGTCAAAGACTACCGACTTATTACTATCTTATGACGCATTATGCCGGTTCTACATTAGTTGCAAGCCGATCGCAAGTTTGTTGCGACAGCCAATCTGAAGCGTTGATTTCAAAATGCAAGCTTGAGATTGGCTGTCGCAACGAATTTGCGAACGACTTGCAACTAATGTAGAACCAGCTTTACTTGACTCGCTTGCAACTAGCTTCTGACTTCTGATTTATGACTTATGGCTTATTGTAGAAGGCCCATTAAACTAATTGTAGGTGGTTATCGGGAATAATAATAAACTTACGGATGAATAAAGTCTTGCCCGACAACATTTATTAATATAATATAACGAGGTTATACCAGGTGTATGCATATGAAAGTGAATTTTTTTTATAGAAAATACACGTTTATTGCATGAAAATGATAAAAAATATTTTATTCGAAGTATTGCCCATCGCTAGCTATACATTTTTCCCACCTGTCTGACAATTTGTGGATGCCACGTCAAAAAAATTGTTGCTCTTTTGAACCAAACCAGTCATCTAGCCATTTTCGTACATCTTCGTAAGAAGTGAAGCGCTGCTGAGCAAGTGCGTGTCCCATCGATACAAATAAGTAGTAATCGGACGGAGCCAAGTCTGGTGAGTAAGCCGCATGCCAAAGCATTTCCCAATCAAACGTCTCAATCGTTTCTTTGACCTGTTTTGCTGTGTGATGGTGCATTATCATGAAGCAAAATCTTCACTTTGTGTTGCCTTTTTTGATATTCCGATCGTTTTTCTCGCAAAGCTTGATTCAAATTGATCATTTGTTATCGGTAGCGTTCAGTATTAACGGTTTCACTAGGTTTTAGCAGGTTTTAGCAGATTCCGATGGTTTTCCACGTTGTTCGTTTCTCACGTCAAAATCGCCACTTTTAAATTTTTTAAACCAATAAAAGCACTGTGATTTACCAAGAGCATGCTCACCGTAAGCTTCGACAAGCATTCGATGCGATTCTGCAGCAGTTTTCTTCAAATGGTAACGGAAAATCAATTGCTGTCGGCGAATTGTAGTTTCTAGGCGCAAAATTCGACATGTTCAACGCTATTATAAACTATACTGTTGTATGAAACTTGTATTGTTGTGAGTTGAAAATCTTTGTCAGATGTCAGAACAAGGAAATGGCGTCAATGACGTGCTCTGACGGTAACTACATTGATCTACTATGACCACTATTGGTAAAGTACACTTTCATATGCATACACCTGGTATGAGTCCTGCTTGTCAAGATAGCTAAACAGCGACTGGCGAGCGCCGTGACGCTCGCAAGGATCGCGCGGTGGGATCAATGCCCTTTTGCCCAATCAGGCACTATCTGGCGATTCCCGACAGCCAATCCTCGCGACTTCGGAAATCCGCGTGTCGGTTACTTCTGCTACGGAAATTTCTGGTAGCGACAAGCTCGCGCAAGAAGCCTCTCGAACGTTTTTCTTAATACGATAACTAACTTATAGCGTTTTCCACTGGAAAAACTGGTGCAACACTGGTGCGCACTGAGTGCAATTTTGTTGTTCCACTGTGAAAATCAGTTCAGTGTTTAATGTCCCTCTGACAAAACTGATGCAAAAAACTTGCACTGAGTTCAACTTTTGCTCCACTGTCTTTGAAGTCAGTGGAGACCAGTGCAAGTTGAAATTGAGGTTATATATTTGCGCTTTCAAATACAATCATTAAGGCATAATATTAAATTATTTTAATTAATAACAATATTTTTAGTTTTTGCGTATCTAGTAAAATAACTAGCATTAATATTTTACTAAATATATAAAAACTAAAAATATTGTTATAAAAAATTATTATATTATATAAAAAATTAATAAATAATCAAGGACGTTCAGGAGATTATATATGATTATATAAAATTGTATCTATATATGTTTGGACATATTTTATATATAATTATGTATAATTTTATATGTATAATTATATAAAAAAATTTTTTTTTTTAGAAGAAATTGTTGTTCGAAGTGTACAGTGTCGATACAGCCAGTATCGAATGTGTTCCTCTAAATCTGCACTATTAAGGGCCACTGTCACAGCTTCGATTAACTAATCAGCCTAGTAACTTTGCAGGCTTCCAACTGAAGTTGATGTCGGAGCTGGGTACCTATCATGGAACAAGTCGGAATGGATTCCGATCGGAATTATTCCGTTTATCACCAGATGTTACTAGATGGGTAATCATGGACAATCGGATTGTTTCCAAAACGGTCGGAAAGTTTCTGGTACCTCGCGAGCTGGCGAAATGTCGATTCCGATCGGAATCAAACATTGAGAACGTGAGAAGGAGGTTAAGTCTCGAGAGATTGCTTGCGGTTATGTACATACTATTTGTGCTTAAAATACATCGTGATAATGGTAAGTATTGGAAATATTTTACAAGAAAATTAATAATAATATTAACAGTAATATTATAATATTAATATTTATATTTATATTATAATATATTTATATTTAAATATAAATATATAAA